AGTTGGTTAAGAGCTCGCTCAAGAGTTTGAGCTCTGAGCAACAGCGGTTCGAGTCCAGCCCAAGCTGAGCAGCCGCTGAGCTGCCAACAGGTGGCGGGATGGCTCAGCTAAAAAAAAAAAAGAGCGTGAGGAAATCTGCAGAGCACCAAGACCATCATACAAACATCCAGAAGAGGCAGAGGGACAACAGCAGACTCTCCCAAGCATCCAGAGATGCCAAGGGACAGGGAACGGATGCCTCAGAAATGCTGAGACATGGCCCTCAACCAGGGGTTCTACAGTCAGCCACAGCATCACCCCAGAGTGAGGGCGTGACAGCCATTTTCAGACAATGACTAATAGACTCTCATGGAAAGAACAACGAAAGGGTGCATTGCAGGGAAGAGAGTCCCCAGGGATGAGTGAAAACGAACAACCAGGACCAGGAAGACGTGGGTGGCTCCATGGGCCGTGCCCGGGCGGGAGTCCTCAATCTGTGCCTGTTAAACAGGGTTCCACTGCAGCAAGCAGAACTGGCAAAGATGTCAGGGCACCGCCGGCTGTCACAGACTGAATGGTTGTGTCCCCCCAGCAAGTCCCCTGTGGAACCTAAGCCCCCGTGATAGTTAGAGGTGGGGCCTCTGGGAGGTGAGGGGAGCATGACGGGGGAGCCTTCATTAAAGGGACCCCAGAGGGCAGCTCGCCCTTCTGCCCCATGTGAGGACACAGTGTGGAGACACCACTACCAGCCAGGAAGCGGCCAGCCAGCATCCAGGACTGAGGAAAGAGCTGCCGTGTATCAGCTGCCCTGTGTTTGGTTACAGCACCCAGAGGTGGCTGAGACCAAACGCGTAACTTCCATGTCAAGGAGAAGGGGACAGCGAGCGAGGGGCTCAGCAGAGCTGGGAGGCAGTCGGCAAAGCGGTGCAGGTGAAGGGCTGCAGGCGGCAGGCAGCGTGTGGGTGGGGCTGGAGGTGACAGAGGGAAAGGGGCGGAGAGGCAGAGGTGGCAGGAGACGGGTGCAGGGCGAACAGGGCGCCGGTGTGTGATGGGCGCGGTGTCTGTGGTTCTGGGGACGATGCACAGCCCACGCCACCCCTGCTGCCTGGCAGGCTGAGCTGAGCTCAGCCCACACCTGGTGCAGGTGAGTGAGGGTGGAAGTTGCCCTCCCAGCGGGTGAGGGCAGGCCAGGCTGTCCTCAGACACAGCCCAGCAGGCTCCCCTCCCGGCCCTCACGCGTTCCTCCTGGGCACTTAATTTCCCAGGGTAATTAGCTGTGCCGTCCCGGGGCCACCCTGAGGCTGGATGGGCCAGGGGAGTCCAGAAGGCCTGCGGGAGGGGAGTGGCCAGCTGAGTCCTTCTGCTAGGGTGACCACACCCCTCCCTCCTCCACACCCATTGGACACAGTGAAGATTTTGGGGGTCGCCTCTCAGTGCGACTTTGACCATGAGATGGGGGTGAGCTGTGCTGCCCTGCACCTTACTGTGCATATGGAGAAACAGGCACAAGGGGGCAGCCTGGGCAGGTCACAAGGGGCAGACAACGGAGCCACGTCTCCTCCTCCGGGGTTGGGCAAGGAGCTGCAGGTCTCACCTGAAGGGGTCTGTGGGGTCTTTGGCGTCGCAGACATCCGCGTGGCCATGGCAGACGCAGCGGCCACCGATGCTGATGTCCTTGATGCTGTAATAGTACTGCACCCGCTGGCAGTGAGCACCGCGGCCCCACGCCAGCCCACCGCCCGCCTGCCCCCCTCCACCCCCTCCCCTGTGGGCCCCGCCAGGCCAGCGTGCTCACCCGGCGGGTGACAGTGGGGTCCCGCAGCGCCTTGCCCATGAGGTGGCCCAGCAGCGTGTTTGTGCGCAGGAAGCGCAGGCGGATGTTGGTGGCTTTGGTGAAGTCACGCAGCAGGGGCGAGTAGGAGAAGTTCATGGCGCCCGGGCGCCTGTTCACCAGGGACACCACAATCTGCAGACAGCAGGGTAAGGGTCACAGTCAGGGTCGGGGTCGGGGTTGTCAGGGTCAGGGCCAGGGCCATGCTGGCATCGCCCACCAGAAGCACACGGCCGGGACCCCTCCGTGCCCGCCGCCCACCCGCCCACCTCGCCGTTCTCCAGCGGCACGATCCGGGAGTACTCCGTGGTGCAGATGACATCGTCGTCCCGCGTGATGCGCTCTAGCGTCCGCGGCCCAAATCGCTCAAGGCAGTCCCTCTTGGAGGCTGCAGGAAACAGGACAGAAGGTGAGGGCGCAGGACCCTGGAAAGCCCTCGGACCCTGGGCCCCCTCCTGCATGCTTGGACTTCCAAGAGCCTCATGGCCTCAGCCTTGAGATGGGAACACAGCCCTGCTTCAATGGGTCACCCACCACCTGAACAGAGTGGCACTCGGGCTGACAGAGGAGCCTCTGCAGTTCATGGCGGGGGCCCAGACCACCCAGCCATGCATGAGCCCGGTGGTTCTGAACTGGTCCACACCGCACTAGCCGTCTCTCTGCAGAGAACAAGGGACCCTGGATGGCCCTCACTCATCCCGTGCTTGGGGGACTGTTCTCGACTGCCCTTTTGAGAACTACCTGCCCCTACTCTTGGGCGTGGAGTACTAGGAGGCCAGGTGACCTAGGCCCACCCAATCGGAGAAACGCCGTCCACATGACTGGGCCGAGTGGCATGTGACACGGCCGGTCAGTAAGCATCGGTGTGGAGCTCCATGCTCTCACCACCGGGCAGCTACGCAGGACGCCTTTGTTACCTCACAAGCTACCAGACCGTGAAGCCAGTGCACAGGGAGCCAAGAATCCGCATGGGGACACCTGGCGCCAGGTCAGGGACGGGAGCCGCTCACCCCACGTGTCTTCAGGGACACGCACCCAGCCGTCCTGACCCATGCAGCAGCCAGACCCGAGAGGGCACGGCAATGACAGCCCACCCCAAGGGACCCCATCCCCGCCAGCCCCCCGCTCCAGGAGACTCACAGGCAAAGAACTGCCACGGCTGGTAGGTGTGGCCAAAGTCCGTGGACCGCTCCAGCACCCAGAGGTCCGGCCGAGGGGCGTTGGCGAACTTGATGAGCACGTAGGCCACGTGGAAAACCTGTGGGTGGTGTGGGTGTTGATGCCCTGAAGCCGCACCCCCCATCGCAAGGCCCCTTCTCCACTGTGGACATCTGTGGTTTTGCCTGAGAGGGCCAGACGCTTCCAGGGGAGAAGGCCTCCTGGCTCAGGGAGCAGTCCCCGGCCTCGCTGACCAGCCCGTGGCCACTGAGGCCTTCCCTGGGATACCACCATTTCTGAGGGCTCCCCGCCTAGGTCTGGGGGTGCGTTGGCCCAGGGCCCAGACCCGCCTGCCTCCCTATCCCCTACCCCAGGGGCCCAACAGCCACACTGGCCACCGGGCTTGGAGGCTGAGGCAGGCCTGGTGGTGCCGGGGCACGTGGGCAGCTCGTCTACAGGGCCAGGCAGTGCTCCCAGCTCCCACACGGCCTGGCCTCCTCACACACTGGCAGGTGACCCTTGCTCCTGGGATGGGGCCCCTGTCCCAGCCTCACCTGGTCACCCCACGTCCTACTCAGAGCCAACTCAGAACCTGTCCTTGCCCGTGCTGACCGGCCCCCAGCCTGCGGTCCCCATGGGCAGGTGGCCTGGAGCAAGTCACAAGGCCCCAGTGGGGGAGACAGACTGGAAAATGGGGAGCAGGGCTCTCCTTGCCAAAGGCACCCCTCATCCAGCTCCTCAGGGATGAAGCATGAGGTGGGGGGGGGGTCCCCACGTCAGTGCCTGGAGCCCATGACCGCAGGCCACAGTCCCCAGGAAGGGTGCTGGGTCCACTGGGAAGAGCCGTGGGCTCAGGCAGGGTCACTTGCCCAGCCGGTGGCCTCAACGGCCAGGCTGGGCCACCCAGACCCCCAAGAGGGGAAGCACGTGAGCTGGCTCCACCCGCACACCCTTGGCATGCGCATCACTGTGACCCCAACATCTGAGGGTGCCCACTCTGGGCTCGGCCTCCCTCAGGGGAAGGACGGTGGTTCCCAGGCCTCTCAGCTCTGAGGACCAGTGAGACCCTCCCGCTCAGCCTCAAATCCAAGGGAACAACAAAGTCAGGCAGGCCATTGTCCAGGCTGGGCTCTGGTCTCCAAGAAGACCTGAGCAGGGCAAGCAGGGGGCCCTTCACCCCCAGTCTGTATACAGGAGTGGGAGGCCCCGGACAGAGGCAGAGGCATGGCTGGTAAACACACTGCATGTGGGGGGCGCCCACTGCCCACTCGGGGCATGTTCACAGGGGCACCCCACCAGGTAGGCTTCGAACTGTCCACTGACCTCGAGGGTGAGGTCACATTCCAGGCTACCCGTCGCACCCTCAGTGCAGCCCTGTCTAGCATGGGGGAGCAGGTCCCCTTCGGGTGTCCACTGCTCTGGATTTCTGTCCCAAACTAGCTGAAGCAGAACAAGGGTCCCTGCCTGAGGTCCAGTCACCCCTCCACCCCCCCAGCACTTGTCAGCCTGAGGCCGCTGTGGTGGCCCCGTGGAGGGACAGTGGGCCCCTTGGGGCCCAGCACTCAGGAGGCACAGGCTGCTAAGAACGCCACAGGGGCAGGGTCCTGGGATTCTGGGACACGCCTGTGGAGTCCTGCCCTTCCTGGAAGGCCTGCCTGCGTCAAGCAAAGTGGCCTTTCCCCGGGGTGGGGGGGTTGGGGGGGGTGCAACCCATTCACCCACTGCCAGGCTCTGAGGTCATCTTCCCCTGGGCCCATCCGGTCAGGGGAGGGGCACCAGCCCCTGGGGGACGGACCCTGCACCCAGCAGGCACACTGGCCACCCCTCAGGCATTCCGGGGAGCCCTGGGGGACTTTGGATGGCCCCTGTGCCCAGAGGGGTCTTCGTGAGGAAGGGGATCAGGACAGGGTGGGGGGTCCTGTGTGTGTGAGAGTACAGACAGAGGCTACGGGGGTGGGGGGCGCAGCACACTACCCCGGAAGGCCCCACAGGAAATTAAAGGCCCCCCCCCAAGGCCCCAGTACCCACCCCCGCCTTCCCCTTCAGTGGGGCCACCAGGCTGCACCCTCCGCTGGCCGCTCTGTCCCTCCCCCAGATCGGCGGGCCGACTGCATTTTTCCCAGCTGAGAGCACTTGCACAAATATTGATTCGAAGGCTGATCAGGCAGGACAAGGGCGGCATGGAAACTCCCACCCTACGCCTGGCACTCTGGGACATGCTAAAAGAAAGACCCCTGCCTCCTGTCCGTCTGCCCACCTGGTCATCTGTCCCTGAGGCCCTGGCCCAGGCTGGAGGGAGAGGCATGCGCCCAGCGCGCCCCATCTCTTCCCATGCGGGCATGACCCGGAGGGACGCAGACCCCTGGCGGCCCGCCCCAAACCTCCGCCCCCGGCCAGCCCCAGTGCTGACCTTTCCCGCTGCTACAGTTCTCTGCAGAAGGAAAAAACGTCTTTTAAAGCAAAAGCCAAACAAAAGCCTCCTGAGTTATTTTTAACAATCTGGCTATTTTGGGGCAGGCATGCCTCCAGGACAGCAGCCAGACCTCTCGGCCACCGCACCCCTGGCCCCCACACCCAGCCTGTCTGCGGAGGGCCAGGGCCCCCCAGGAGGGCATCTGCCCCCAGACTACTGCCTGACGGGGGTTGGGGGGGGGGCAGAGCAGGACTCTCAGGGTGGGTTCTAGGCACCAGTGACTGTGTGGCCCTGGGAAGTCATGTCTCTCTGGGGCAGTGAAAAGATAAACAGCCGAGATGCAAAGACCAGGAGTCAGAGCACAGTGCCTTTCAAGATAGTGTGACGGCTCCGAGAGCCTTGCATGGGAAGTCGCCACCTGTCCCTGGAGGTGGACAAGCAGAAGCCAGTGGCCACTTAGCAGGGACGCTGCAGAGAGCGCCTGACACTCCACCACACTCTGGTGTCCGGAGGCACAGGTGAGGGAAGGGGAGTGTGCAGGGGCAGGGCTAACACCACGGGGAGGGCTAAGAAAAGTGCTGCAGACCCCAGCAGGGCCTCTGTACCCCCTTGGGAGGGGCTGGGGCAGAGGGTGACAGCTGGCCAGCGGCCTCCTGGGCTCCAGCACCCATGTCACCAAGGGCAGGGCCCTGGCTGGAAGCCCAGGAGTGTGAGATGGTTGGGGCCAGCACCTTCCCCTCTGCCCTGGCCCATCTCAGGGCTGGGAGATCCAGGCTGGCCCCGCGTGCCTGTCATGGGGGAGCAGGGCCCAGCCCCCGCCAGCCAGGCGGGGGTGTGTGAATCACCAGGCAGCCTGTGACTCAGCCCTGGCACTGCAGGAAACAGAGCCCAGCGCTGATTCCCGGGGATGGGCCAGGGTCCCAGGCAGGAAGCCCCTCCCAGACCCGGTGTCCGGGACAGCTCCCCGGCCATTCCTCGCGGAGCGAACACCGGGGTACCCAGATCTGGACCCCCAAGACTGCTAGGGACCCCCCACCCCTGTGCGCTGAACCCCCCTGGCCCAGCCCCCAGGTTAGCCCTCTCCCCAGTGTGCCCACCCTCTCGGCAGAGACCCCATCTGGAAACCCTGATAAAGATAAACGCCACAGCAGGGGCCAGCGGGGGCCAGGACAGGGCAGGGCAGGCGTGTCCACTCAGGCCCCCAACTGGGTAAATAAGCATGGCTGTCCACACACCAGGATCAGGGATCCCGAAAACAGGCCACTCACGGACGAGCTCCAGGAGAGACGGCGAGTGGAAAAGCCACTGCTGGAAAGACAAGTAAAACATGAAGATGCAGAGAGGTGCCCCAGGGACCCGGCTCTGCGGGGTGGTGCCTAACGCACAGGTGTGCAGAGCAGGATGGGGGACACCCAGGGAATGGGCGGGGGTGGAAGGGCCCCGGCGGGGGTGCAGGAGCTCACCAGCTAGAGTTGGGGGCAAATGCCCAGCGTGGCCCAGCACCTCGACGAAGGGGGACTTGGGGGCAGTTCAGAGACCCTCAGCCATCTAGGGGCTGTCTTGGGCCCCCTGCCTTAAACGGGGGTTTTCAGGCCCAGGCCCGGGCCCTGCCCACAGCTCCCCGCTCCGATCCCCTCCTCCCTGCAGCCTGGCCCAGGTCAGGCCAGATGGTCGGCCACAGGAAGTGGAGTTTATCCCAAGGGGACCCCAAAACCCAAACAGTTTAGTCTCCGGTGAGCAGTACTGCTGGAGGTCAACGCTGTGGGGTTTGTTTAAAAATAGATGGAAAACAGGAGCCTTTGGGAGTCAACAGGGCCTGGGGCGTCCACTGTGAGGTGGCGGGGGCATCTGTGTGTGCCCAGAGTGAGCAGAGAAGGGTGGTCCAGGATGGCGTGTGTGCTGCCGAGGGCGTGTGGCAGCAGCAGGCTGCCCAGGCCGGCACGGATGGCCCCGTGTCTTCTGAGCGAAGGACAGGCAGAGGCAGCAGTTCATTGATTCTCACGAGGAGATGTAGAGCCAGAGCGGGGGGGTGCCTCAGGCTGGCCGCCCACAACCCACCCCCACTGTCCTCCCTCAGGGAGCCCAGCTCAATGGGCCACGTCCGGTCCAGCCTCCACACCTGTCCCGGCCGCTGGGCTCTGTAACCAGAGCCTGGCCAGCCCCGGCCATACTTCCTGCCGCTCCCCTGGAATAACCCCACTGACCCTGCTGGGGCACCGGCCACATGGCTGAGTGCCCAGCTGGGCCGGGGAGTCAGGCCAGTGGGCACGCCCAGACCAGGAGGCTTGCCCTGGGAGCCCCGAGTCAGCCAGCCTCTGAAGGCGTGCTGCCCGGAACTGGGGGACCAACCAAAGCGGCCCATGTGTCGGGGGCCCTTGCCGAGGCGCAAAGCCCCCGGGGCACATGCTCTCACCCCACCAGGTACAGAGCGGAAAACTGAGGCATGGAGGCCGGGTGGCTGAGCTGCACCCAAGCCCTGCGTCTCCTCCTGACAGACACCAGTCTCAGTCCCTCCACATGTGTGCTCAGTTTCCCCAGGTACCTGGGTACTCTCACCCCCCAACGTCGACAGCCTCACGGGAGCTCTGCTCTGTGCATGCCACCCCCACACCTCACCGCTGTCTCCCAGGAGGGCACAGATAGATCCCCGCACCTGGCACTTCTAGCCCCCAACCAACACTTTTGGCATCATAGCCAACCACCCCAGCCTACACCCCAAGGCTCCTGGAGCCTCAGTTTCTCCATCTGCAACATGGGAAGGCAGAGGGTTAAACACCCCCACCACGGGAAAGATCAGAAGGGGGGGGAGCCGTGACCCTTGGAGAAGGAGATTACCTGTGGCCCCATGGGGCTCCTCTGCCCCCACACCGGTAGACCCTGAGGGGACCAGCCTCCCGCCCCAGGCCACCCACCAGGCGTGAGACGGGCGCTGTGACGCAGCCCACAGCCCCTATCTTCAGCCTTCCTGGGGCAGAAAGCCCCCAGTGCCCAGGGTCGGCTGCCCCACCCCCTTTCCAGGGCATCCGCTCCAGGTCTCAGAACAAAGGCTGCTGGCAGCCTGTCACGGGGAGTGCCCAACCCTGCTGCCCGCTCAGCCCCATTTCCTGACGGAAGCCCCAGCCACATGCGTGCCCAGAGCCCCCAAGGACTGCCCTAAGTGGGAGAACCCCAGTCAGGGGTTGGGATCCCGGACTCTGCCCGCTGGGCTGGGCTGGCTTAGCCAGGGCCCTCCCACCCTGCCTGTTCCTCCTCTGCACCAGGGGCTGTGCTGCCCTGGGGACATCCTCAGTCTGGAGGGGACACCAGCTGCGTCACCAGACCCAGGGTCACTGTGAGGGCCAACTGGACACGCTCCAGGCCCAGTCCTCCAAATGCCTCCCTGCAGTGCTCTGGCCCAACCGCCTCTGCTGGTCCCCCAGAGCCCTCACTTCCTATCCTATGTGGGGCCCCTCTGCCCCAGAACTGGCACTGGCAGGACGGGGTCTCCATCCCCAACCCCAGCAAGCGCGGACACCCCGAAGGGGCCCAGTCACGGCTCTGGCTGAGGGAGGAAGGGGCAATGAACCAACCGCCTTTCCCAGATTTCTACTGGAATAACACCAGGGCTCTCAGCCGCAGAGCTGGGAACGGGGCCCACTCGCCCACCCAGCTCCAAAGCACACAGGTGGGCAGTCACCATGCTCCCTCACCCCCACCCTGACCCGGGCACTAGCCCCTCGGCCCAAACCGAGTCAGGGGCTTCGGTAGGTTCATGGGCGGTTAGGGAAAGGGGGCGGGGAGGGAGAAACAGGTAGATGGAAAGAGGGACGGGCGGGTGCGTCAGAGGGTGGGTGAGTGGGTCATCTCCCCCACACAGACCTGGAAATGGTCCTCTGCCCCTCGTGTCATTTTATAGTTGGGGAAACTGAGGCTTGGAGAGGCAATGTGTGCACCCAGACCTGGCCTGGGACCAAAGCAAATGAGGGCCTGAGGCCCCATCCTGGGCAGGGTTCACTGAGATGGAGACAGCAGCTTGGGGCGCAGGGCCAGGAGGGGCAGGGGGCTGTGTGAGCCCCCCCCCCCGCAGTCCACCATTGCATGGAGGCTGGGCCGGGCAGGCACTGTGCCCACCTGCTCGGAGGCCACTCAGGGGTTGCCATGGAGACCGGGCCACTGTGCCCCCAGCTAGGCCCCCGCCCTTCCCCCAGTCTGGCCAGACCTGTCCCTCCAGGAGGAGGGGGAGAGGGAGAGGCAAGAAGAACCCACCAGCTCAGCACAAGTTCCCTCCGATCAGGCGTGGGGGCGGGCTCCACTTCCCCACCGACTGTCCCACCGGCTGGGAGGGCGCTCCCAGGCTCCCGGAACAGGAAATGGGCCAGGTAACCCTCCAGCCCTGGGACCTGCAGGCAGGGAGCCCACGACCAGCAGGCCCTCCCCAGCTCTGCCTCCCCCACTCTGCTGACATCACAGCCAATCCAGCCCTACCCCCCGAAATTCCAGGCCACTGGTTAGGACTTCAACCCACTCCCCTCACTGTCCACCACCCACCGGATCAGGCCTGCAGGCCTCCAGGCTGAGGGCAGGAGGTACCCCGACGCTGCACCCCGAACCTGCCAGGGGCCTGCCCTTCCAGCAGTCTCTCAGAGACACTTCACCACCTATGCTCTAACACCCCCCGGGATTACAGCGGGAGGTGGCTCAGCAAGAAGCAGAGGTGGCTCGGCTGGGGCCTCAGGGCCTGCAGTCCAGGGCTCCTGCCCGGCCCCAGGGAACAGGGTAGCGTCTGGCAGGATGGACCTCCTAGCCTGGACCCCAGACGGGCCCAGCCTCAATCACCTGCCCCTGACCCATCCCAAGCAACGGGACTGCCAGCCGGTTTCACAGGACCGGACACCAAGGCCAAGGCCAGGCACCTGGGCAAATTCACACTGGGAGCAGGACGCACACGCCCCGGGTCTGAACCAGCCCAGGTCCACCAACGGGGGCTCCTTTGTCACTGGGAAGTGCCTGACCCCACCCTCCTGCACGCACCCAGCACAGGAGAGGGCACACCTAACCCTACAGGCACACTAACCCCTGGGTGTATCCCAGCACAGGTATCCCAGGAATGTCCACGTCCATCAGCCTCCTCCACATTCCTAGAACCCCTCCCACACCCTCCAGCCAGAGCCCGGTTCCCTGCAGAGGAATTCCTCAGAGTGAACGGCAGGCCCCAGCACCCCCACCCAGCATTCCTGCCCACCTCCATGCTGGACCCTCAGCACCCCGCACCCTAACTCTCCAGGGACCGCTGGTCAGCCCCCACGTTCCCTGTGCACCACAGGTGCGGGAAGCACATGAGCTGCCCACTGCCATGCCTTTGTCTGTGCCTGGACTCCAGATTACAGAGCTGACTCAGGGTGGGCACTTCACCTCCTGGTCCACGCCCCAGGGGAACCCTAAGGCCAGAGATGCAGAGGCGACAAAAGGGGCTCTACCTGGCCCAGGTCCAGGGTGACGTTGACCTCGTTGTATTCCAGGCCGCGGGACAGGGGCGGGCTCTGCCACCAGCGCTCCGTGCCGTCAATGGCGTTGCTCACGGGATGTGCCCTGTTGCTGTTTGCCGCCGTGCAGATGTCACAGTACTGGCCCTGTGGGGACACAGCGGTCAGGTGGCCGAGGAGGGCTGGGACCCCTCCCCCCTCCAGTTACCCTTCCACCCCCAATCTTCGGACCCTTGTCCACCATTCACTCATTTTCTTGGCAAACCAACTGCATTGTTGACTCAGGGATATGACAGGTGGTCACAGCCTCTATGGGGGAGCAAGAGTGAGGAGGAAGAGGGGGACCTGCTTTAGGCGGGGAAATCAAGGTGGGCCTCTCTAAGAAGGTGGCATCTGAGGCACAAACTGTGAGGAGGGTGTGCTCCAGGCAGAGGGGCTGCCTGCGCACAGGCCATGGGCAAGGAGAGCCATGCAGTGAAGAGAGCCGTGCAGCTGGAGAGGAGGCGCAAAGAGCAAGTCACATGCCCCCCACGAGCAGACGGCTGGGATCATCTGGAAGTGGGGGGGCCAGGAAGATCAGGAGAGCCAGACCCCTGTCCCCCATCCAACGCCCATCTCCCACAATACTCCTGCCAAACTCTCGCCCAGAGCATCTGGATTAGGGTCTCCAGAGAAACGAAACTAAGCCATTCCGGTGGCCTGTGGGACCAGCCCCACAGTAGAGGCATGTGGGCAGCCAGTGGGCTAAGGCCTGGACCTCCTAGCTCTGCCACTTCCGAGCCCTGGGACCTGGCCAAGTCACGGCAGCCACTGAGCCTCAGTGTCCGCATCCAAAGAGTGGGGGTAATGCTGGCACCTGCCTCGGCCGCCCCAGGATTAATGATCCCACCCCGGGCCAGGCAGCTGCTTCTGTTGCGGTCCAGACACCTGCCAGGGCCCTGTCCTCTGGGGGCACAGAGGGCTCCCAGCAGCATCCTGGCCTGCTGTCCCTGTTGGGGAGGAGCAGGTGCGGGGAGCCCGGGGTGGGGTGGGGGCAGGGCTAGGCCTGGCGGCTGGCAGAGTGGAGGCCCAGCCCCACAGCCCAGAGGAAACCAGACCTGCCATCCCTCTGCACACAAAGGCAGCCCTCCGGGACTTGGCACTGATTGAGGCCGAGAGGCCTTGTCTGGGAAAGGCAGCCACCCCACCCTCTCCACCTCCCAGGGGGCCAGACCTGTCCTAGGAGTTGGAGGTGGGGGCGTGGGATGCCCTGCTCCACCCGCAAGCAGCACATACGCACAGCATGCCCCCCACCTCCCCAGGTCCCATCTGCTCCAGGCTCCCACAGTATGCAGGGGTGGGGTTGGGGGGTAACCAACAGGCAGCAGGGGGTTCCTGGGCCCCTGGTGCAGGGCGCTTTGGGGGGCCGCATCTCAGACCTTGTCCCTGCTTGGGGCCTTTATACCCTGACCTCTTGTCCTCCGTCTCAGCTCAGATGTCACCTCCTCAGCAGCACCCCGCCCAGCTCTGGACCACCCAAGATGCTGCCCAGACACCCAGCTGGCATCACCTTAATTTATTTATTCTACCTGCAGAGTTGGGGTTGTCTGGCTATGAATGATTTTGTGTTTACTGCCTCCGTGGGGGCTGAGAGCTCAGAGGTGGGGCCACGCCTGCCTCATTCTAACTGTGGTCCCGAGCTCACCACCCAGAGCTGCCACACCCAGGGGCTAGCAATGGAGGGCCCCCAGGCACGGCCTGTGCGGGCCATACCACCAAGCTCAGATGGTGACGCCCAAAGGGGAGCCTGGGGCTCTGGTTCCTGGGCCTGCGGGAGCTCTCGGGGCGAGCAGAGGGTTCAAGGGTGTCACTGAAAGCACCGCGCACATAGGTGCAGCCCTCTAGAGAAGGCTGCCTATGGTCAAGACCCGCCCAGGCCTCTGAGCACCATGCAGGGGCTGGGTCAAGGGTCACGGGGGCACAGGGAAGCGTCTGCTCAGGCCCACCCAGAGAGTCAGGGAGAGGGAATTCTAGTGGCCCTCGCATGGCCGCAGTGGGGCCACTCAGTGCCAGGGGCCTCGCTGCTGGCCTTACTGGCCCGGGCTCACAGTGGACAGGGGAATCCAGGCTTCCTCGGCCCGTGTGCTGCAGAGGGTCCTGCTGGGAAAAGAGCTAGGAAACAGGGAGCAGCGATAAGAACTTCCCCTCCCAGTGAGTCACCAGCCCTAACTTCCCCGCCAGGCCGGAATTCCTCCCATGCCCACCTGAGGCTGCGGAGGGCCAGACCCAAGTTGCTCCAATGCACAGACCACCTCGCCCAGCAGGGCTCTCCCAGGCCCCAGTAGGGATGCCCCCTGCAGCTTCTGTCCCATTGTCCCCAGGAGTCCCCTGGGAGCTGCCGACCTGCAGCCTTGGGTCCCATGTCCTCCATGAGCCCCCCCCCCCACGCTGGCATAAGGCTGGGCTCTCAGGATGGACAGAAGGTGGGCCTCATCTCCCTGGTGTCTCCTATACCCCACCACCGCCACTCGCCACCACACGGGGCCTGAGGGCAAGGCCTTATCAGCAATCCACTCGGAGGCCAGGGCACTGAGCCTCTGTCCCAGAGGAGAGGGCAGAGGTACCCGCCAGTCCAGGGACTCATCCGAGGTCACACTGGTACCCATCTGGCTGCTGGTCTGTCTACCGTCCCCCGCCCCAGCGGCCTCTTGGCTGAGGGTCCCAGGCTTCCAAGGGGAAGCTTTCGCCTCTTTTGCTAGATTGTGGGCTGGGCGAGCAGGGCAGACATTTCTCATCCAGGGCTGGCTCCGTGGCACGTAACACCAGGCTGCCACCGGCTGCGAAGGAGTCACTGTGTGACAGATGACTCCCCAAGCTCCAGCTCCCAGTGAAGGGCGCCTCACGTGGTGCCCATCTCACAGACGGGCAACCTGAGGTCTGGGAGGAAAACCATGCAGCTGAGCAGAGGCAGAAGAGAGGGGCTTTGAGCCCTGGCCACAGGTTGCCAGGCGCTCCTTTAAGCCCTGGGAGGGGCAATAAAGCCCCCCACCCCCCCCAGGGCCAGAGGTGGCCTGGAGCCTGCCCTGCCCTAACGGCTGAATCTCAGCTAAGCCCTGAGGAGGGACCCCAGGGGCTGGGCCAGGCCGCTGGGGCAGCTTTGGAGACCCCCACACAAGCGCCTTCCTCAGACTCGGCCCACTTGACGTCCACCAGACGTGCGAAGGGCCCCCTCAGGGGCCCAGGTTTCCACCGAGATCCTGGTCTGGCTGCGGGGCTTCCAGCAGGTGGCTGCGCCCTTCCAGGCCTCAGTTTCCCCATCTGAAATGTGGGCTTGAGACCCCTGATCTCAGCTGTGCTGGGCTTAGAGGAGAGCACGCAGGGGAGTCCAGGAGCCCGAAGGAGGCAACCCCAGGAGCCCTCCCAGCTGCTGCCTCCACTGGGGGGCCAAGCGGGGTTGGAAGGCCGGCACTGAAGGGGCTCAGCGAATGGACCCTCCAGACACCTCGGTCCCCTCCCCCAGCTTCTCGTGGCCTGGGACCTCCTCCCTGGAGGAAGTGGCTCAGTTTACATCAGCCCTGAGGCCCCCAGATTCTTCTCAAGGTTTGGCAGGGGTGGGAAGACAGGCCTAGCATGGGGTGTCGGGGAGCCCCTAGGGCAGACCCCACCACCGCCGGGGCTAAGGCTAACCCCAGGAGGCCAAGGAGCCTCACCTAAGTCCAGAGGTCTCAACAGCCCTGCATCCCTGACGAGGTGTCCACGTGTCGGGCCGCCGAACCCATCCCCCACCTACAGGCTCCGGCTGGGGGAGGCATGGCCCCCCAGCGGGTCTGCAGGGGTTGAAACCCTATCTCCCCGGGGAGACGGTAGCCCACGGACTGCGCCGCCCGTGGGGCACAGACGCTGCCCCTGGCTCTCTCCCCGTCCGCATCCCCGGTTAAAACTCCCGCTGTGCGCAGCGCTCCCCCACCTTGAGGACCCCACTCAGTCCCTCGACCCCCAGTGGGGGCAGCTTCAACCCTCTGCTGTGGGCCGTGAAAGCCTCCTGTCTGGTCGCTCCCTCCCATCCCAGTCCCATCCCGACGCCAGCAGGTTCCAGCCTGTCCCGCGGGAAGGCGGGGCGGCCCACCCCCTCTCCGCGGGCAGCAGGCGGAGGCCACCAAGCCCCGCCTCGCCTGGATCCCGGGGCTTGCGGCCGCCAGGGACTGGGCGCCAGCGCCCCTCCGCCGGCCACCGCCGCCCCGGGTCCCCACACGGACGCGCGGTTCGCTGGCGCGCCTAAACGGCCGAGCCGGGGTCCCTTTCGCCCCCCGAAATGTGGAACCGGAGAGTCGGGGCGGAATGCGGGGGGCTTCGGTGCAGCCGGGGCGCTCCCCGCCCAGTCGGGCTGGAGTCGCGGAGCCCGAGGCCGGTTCGCCGCGGGCGCGGGGGTCCCCGGGACGGCGACCCTGCCCCCGGCGGGCGCTCACCTGGATGGTCTGGTTGGGGTCGCCGCCGGCCACGGGGCCCCCCACCAGCTTGCAGTAGAGGTCCTCGGTGGGGCGCGGGGCGCCGCGCGCAGAGCCCTCCTCGCCGCAGGTGGCCGAGGCGGCGATGCGGGCGCCCTCCGCCAGGTTGAAGTAGGGCGGGTGCAGACTGAAGCCGCCGCCGGCCGCCGCCCGCGCCGCGCCCAGCAGCGCCAGCCCGGCCAGCAGCAGCAGCGGCGGCGTTGGCGCGGGGCCGTACCGCCCCATCTCCAGGCTCCGGGCCGCGCGCTCCGCCAGCGGGACTGACTGCTCGCGGCGGGAGCC